GACTCGCACATCATACCCTGACTCGCTCATCATACACTGACTCACTCACGCTGCTGCTGACTCACTCACACATCATACACTGGGAGTGTCGTGCTGCCAGCTATGGCTGCAGTTTTTTGTCATACGTGTTATGTATATCGTTTATTGTTAAATTTAAAATCACCGTTCCTGTGATTACTGTTGTTACATTGTTCTTATAGCTTTATTTTGGTGATTCGAAAACATATGGTTAATCTAAATTGTCTCATGGTTGTTGTTGTTGGCTTGCACCACATTGATTTTTGCACACGGCGTTTTAATACGTTTTTTTTGCGTGTGGAATATTTGCCGGTTTATTCCAGAATGTTTCTGTTACGCGTTGTCGCTTTAAGATGTTCTGTGTTCAAATTTTGTTTGTTGCGGTTGCACCCGACTTAAGAGCCGCATGGCTCACAGGGCTTTACCTAATAAATGAAACTTGAAACTTGGGGAGGGGGGGTTTGAGAAATGTGACGTCACATCAAAATGCGCAACTTTAAATAAATATAGACAACACGTTCTACTTAATTAAATAGACTTTATAATAAATGTTTTCTCCTACAACATCAGAGTGCAGCGGCACATTAAATACGCGCTACAATGACAATAGTTTAAAGCGATTTGAAGCATGTTTATTTTTTTTGGGGGGGGGGCAGAGCTTTGTGACGTCATATTTGAGGGGGGGGGATCTGACTTTTTGTGACGTCGTGTGACGAAGGGAGGGGTCAAAAGTCGTCCAAAATCGCGTGACGTCATTTATGGACGGCCCCAAAGGGTTCGTGGCGTGCAGTGCGCTAACCACTGCGCCACCGCTCCCCAGGGGCTGGCTGACGCTAAACACGGCGTTGACAGGGACCCCCGGGTCTGCGTAACTCTAAACTAAAATATTTGTATTCTTAGCTCTTTCGGTAAAGTCACGTTGAAGGGAAACAATAAAATAATAAAATATATAATACAATAAAAATTCTCACGACGTTTCGACCATGATGATGATAAGGTGACGACCGTTTGATGATGACGACCGTTTGTGTTATGGTCGAAACGTCGTGAGAATTGTTATTGTATTATATATATTATTACTTTATTGTTTCCCTTCAACGTGACTTTACCGAAAGAGCTAAGAATATGAATTACTGCAGTCACGAAAGCTTTAAATCAAAATTTAAAATATTTGTGTAACTTTACAAGGGTTAACGCCCCACCACTGTGTTACGTAATCTCTTTTTCTTCAGAAGCCACCTTAGCATCACAAGTGATAGCTAAACGAAGTGGCTTATCATCATCTTCATCATTGTGTGTGTAACTGGAGAGCAGCAGACAAGGACTCTAAAACGCGCGTTCATCTTGCGAAGTTCCATCAACCTACAGTGTTCGGCATTCCAGACCAATATATATTTCATCCAGCAGTGCATAGCAGTCAACTCATACTGTTTACCCCGTATTCTTGTACAGGGAAATTGAGTTTCCAGGTACAAACGGCATATAGCCGTTTCATTACGGGGCAAATTAAAAATGAATTGTCTGTTTCTGTCCTTGTGATTGGGACTTTGTAGGATGAACGTTGAGATGTATAAGGGGGGCACGGGGTGACCAATAAGGTCTGAATTGTTCTGTAAGAATGTAGGGCAGTGATAAGCGGTTGACAGGTATGATGACCAGTGTGTTATTTAATAATGTAGGGCAGTGATAAGGGGTTGACAGGTATGATGAGCAGTGTGTTCTGTAATAATGTAGGGCAGTGATAAGGGGTTGACAGGTATGATGACCAGTGTGTTCTGTAACAATGTAGGGCAGTGATCAGGGGTTGACAGGTATGATGAGCAGTGTGTTCTGTAATAATGTAGGGAAGTGATAAGGGGTTGACAGGTATGATGAGCAGTGTGTTCTGTAATGATGTAGGGCAGTGATAAGGGGTTGACAGGTGTGATGAGCAGTGTGTTCTGTAATAATGTAGGACAGTGATAAGGAGTTGACAGGTATGATGACCAGTGTGTTCTGTAATAATGTAGGGCAGTGATCAGGGGTTGACAGGTATGATGAGCAGTGTGTTCTGTAATGATGTAGGGCAGTGACAAGGGGGTTGACAGGTATGATGAGCAGTGTGTTCTGTAATGATGTAGGGCAGTGATAAGGGGTTGACAGGTATGATGAGCAGTGTGTTCTGTAATAATGTAGGGCAGTGATCAGGGGTTGACAGGTATGATGACCAGTGTGTTCTGTAATAATGTAGGGTAGTGATAAGGGGTTGACAGGTATGATGAGCAGTGTGTTCTGTAATGATGTAGGGCAGTGATAAGGGGGTTGACAGGTATGATGAGCGGTGTGTTCTGTAATAATGTAGGGCAGTGGTAAGGGGTTGACAGGTATGATGAGCAGTGTGTTCTGTAATAATGTAGGGTAGTGATAAGGGGTTGACAGGTATGATGACCAGTGTGTTCTGTAATAATGTAGGGCAGTGATAAGGGGTTGACAGGTATGATGAGCAGTGTGTTCTGTAATAATGTAGGGCAGTGGTAAGGGGTTGACAGGTATGATGAGCAGTGTGTTCTGTAATAATGTAGGGCAGTGATAAGGGGGTTGACAGGTATGATGAGCGGTGTGTTCTGTAATAATGTGGGGCAGTGATAAGGAGTTGACAGGTATGATGAGCAGTGTGTTCTGTAATAATGTAGGGTAGTGATCAAGGAGTTGACAGGTATGATGAGCAGTGTGTTCTGTAATAATGTAGGGCAGTGATCAGGGGTTGACAGGTATGATGACCAGTGTGTTCTGTAATAATGTAGGGTAGTGATAAGGGGTTGACAGGTATGATGAGCAGTGTGTTCTGTAATAATGTAGGGCAGTGATAAGGGGGTTGACAGGTATGATGAGCAGTGTGTTCTGTAATAATGTAGGGCAGTGATAAGGGGGTTGACAGGTATGATGAGCAGTGTGTTCTGGTTGACAGGTATGATGAGCAGTGTGTTCTGTAATAATGTAGGGCAGTGATAAGGGGGTTGACAGGTATGATGAGCAGTGTGTTCTGTAATAATGTGGGGCAGTGATAAGGAGTTGACAGGTATGATGAGCAGTGTGTTCTGGTTGACAGGTATGATGAGCAGTGTGTTCTGTAATAATGTAGGGAAGTGATAAGGGGTTGACAGGTATGATGACCAGTGTGTTCTGTAGTAATGTAGGGCAGTGATAAGGGGTTGACAGGTATGATGACCAGTGTGTTCTGTAATAATGTAGGGTAGTGATAAGGCGTTGACAGGTATGATGAGCAGTGTGTTCTGTAATAATGTATGGCAGTGATAAGGGGGTTGACAGGTATGATGAGCAGTGTGTTCTGTAATAATGTATGGCAGTGATCAAGGGTTGACAGGTATGATGAGCAGTGTGTTCTGTAATAATGTAGGGCAGTGATCAAGGGTTGACAGGTATGATGAGCAGTGTATTCTGTAATGATGTAGGGCAGTGACAAGGGGGTTGACAGGTATGATGAGCAGTGTGTTATTTAATAATGTAGGACAGTGATAAGGGGTTGACAGGTATGATGAGCAGTGTGTTCTGTAATAATGTAGGGCAGTGATCAGGGGTTGACAGGTATGATGATTAGTGTGTTCTGTAATAATGTAGGGCAGTGATAAGGGGGTTGACAGGTATGATGAGCAGTGTGTACTGTAATAATGTAGGGCAGTGATAAGGGGGTTGACAGGTATGATGAGCAGTGTGTTCTGTAATAATGTATGGCAGTGATAAGGGGGTTGACAGGTATGATGAGCAGTGTGTTCTGTAATAATGTATGGCAGTGATCAAGGGTTGACAGGTATGATGAGCAGTGTGTTCTGTAATAATGTAGGGCAGTGACAAGGGGGTTGACAGGTATGATGAGCAGTGTGTTCTGTAATGATGTAGGGCAGTGATCAGGGGTTGACAGGTATGATGAGCAGTGTGTTCTGTAATAATGTAGGGCAGTGATAAGGGGGTTGACAGGTATGATGACCAGTGTGTTCTGTAATAATGTAGGGAAGTGATAAGGGGTTGACAGGTATGATGAGCAGTGTGTTCTGTAATAATGTATGGCAGTGATCAAGGGTTGACAGGTATGATGAGCAGTGTATTCTGTAATGATGTAGGGCAGTGACAAGGGGGTTGACAGGTATGATGAGCAGTGTGTTATTTAATAATGTAGGACAGTGATAAGGGGTTGACAGGTATGATGAGCAGTGTGTTCTGTAATAATGTAGGGCAGTGATCAGGGGTTGACAGGTATGATGAGCAGTGTGTTCTGTAATAATGTAGGGCAGTGATAAGGGGGTTGACAGGTATGATGAGCAGTGTGTACTGTAATAATGTAGGGCAGTGATAAGGGGGTTGACAGGTATGATGAGCAGTGTGTTCTGTAATAATGTAGGGTAGTGATCAGGGGTTGACAGGTATGATGAGCAGTGTGTTCTGCCGTGCCGGCCTTCATTGGTGCTACTAGCTAACAGCACTTGCCCCAACAGTCTCTTTAGGTTATACGGGGGATCTTTGCCTTTGTCATTGGCAGTGTAAATCATGGGGGGCGGGTGGTCCTTTTAAATCATAAAAAAATATACATATAAACATTTGTCCATTAACAGGGCACGGCGTTCGTTGTTTACATTTGAGCTAATTAAGCATGATTTACTCAAAACAATTGTGTTTTTTTATTGTCAACATGAAAAATTGTGATTTTAAAAGTTTATTTCACGGAAGTGACGCCGCTTTATGAGGTCACACCGGAAGTCGAGAAGCGCCCCCCCCCCCCCCCCCTGGTAAAATGGCGGCACGTAAGAAAACTGGACAGGAAGTGACGCGTACACATGTGGATGGACAATTGCGCGAAACGTCACCTATTATATATTTGTTTAATTTGAAGGCCACGCACAGTGTTATTGTGTTTCGTTTCCTTCTCTCTCTCCGTGTTTTATCGACGATGCACCGCGGCAATGCATGACAGCAGGAAGTTACGTCACGAATTCGTTCCCTCCCTCCTTCTCCCCTTAGAAAGATGGCGGCGCACGTGAGCAGGCTGGGGCCGCAGAGACACGCGCTGCTCAGGGTCGCGCAGAGGAGCAGGGAGAACGGGTAACCACGACAACAGCCAGTAACCATGACGACAGCCAGTAACCATGACGACAGCCAGTAACCACGACGACAGCCAGTAGCCAGCAGCAACCCAGCACCACCACGGGATCACAGGCACCCACCCACCACAGCTACTGCTACCACAACTACCGTACAACAATCTAAATGCAACGACCAACGACAATCAACGACAATCAACAGCATTAACAACAATCACGATAATTATACAGCAACCACCCACCACCACCACCACAGCTTATGCATCCACAACTACCGTATTGTACAACATATAATACAACAACAATCAACATTAACAATCACGATAACCCGCACTACCACCACGAGGTACAGCCACAATCACGTGATCACAGCCACCACCAACAGCACCACAGTTACTACAAGTACTGTACAGCAACCATAATACAACAACAATCAACATCATTATAATTATAACAGCAAAACATTCCACCACGGGATACAAACACAACTACAATATCGCAGCCACAAGAGCTGCAAACACCGCATCCACCACATCCACTACCACAACAACTAACACCAACCACTCCTACAACAACAACAACACCAGGATTACTTTACAGTTGTACAATAAGCTAACAATCACCTCAGCAACAGCCAGACTTGGGGGTCTGGGTTGAGCCTCCAACAGACAGGACGGATAATAAAGTTAGTGTTCTGGGCTGCGTTAGAGTCTAGGGTCCGGTTTAAGGTTAGGATTAAAGTGTTATCGGAGTGCAGGTTTAGGGTTCGGTTCTTAGTTACGGTGAAGGACCCGATGCTGACGGTGCTTGTGTCTCCTGTTCCTGTGTCTCGTTGTCCCCGTGTCTACTGTTCCTGTGTCTCCTGTCCCCGTGTCTCCTGTCCCCGTGTCTCCTGTCCCCGCGTCTCCTGTCCCCGTGTCGCCTGGTCTTGTGTCTCCTGTCCCCGTGTCTCCTGTCCCCGTATCTCCTGTCCCCGTGTCTCCTGGTCCCCGTGTCTCGTTGTCCCCGTGTCTCCTGTCCCCGTGTCTACTGTTCCCGTGTCTCCTGTCCCCGTGTCTCCTGTCCCCGTGTCTCCTGTCCCCGTGTCTCCTGGTCCCCGTGTCTCGTTGTCCCCGTGTCTCCTGTCCCCGTGTCTCCTGTCCCCGTGTCTCGTTGTCCCCGTGTCTCGTTGTCCCCGTGTCTCGTTGTCCCCGTGTCTCGTTGTCCCCGTGTCTCGTCCCCGTGTCTCGTTGTCCCCGTGTCTCGTTGTCCCCGTGTCTCGTTGTCCCCGTGTCTCGTTGTCCCCGTGCTCGTCCCCGTGTCTCGTTGTCCCCGTGTCTCGTTGTCCACGTGTCTCTTGTCCCCGTGTCTCGTTGTCCCCGTGTCTCCTGTCCCCCTGTCTCGTTGTCCCCGTGTCTCGTCCCCGTGAGCAGGTTCTGCACGAGCGTCGCCCGTGCCCAGCAGCAGGTGGCTGCAGAGACGCGATCAGGTGACGTTGGCAGTGTCCCCAAGATGATGATGGTGGTGGTGATGGTGGCAGTGGTTGGTGATGTAGGCAGTGGTTGGTGATGTTGGCAGTGGTTGGTGATGTTGGCAGTGGTTGGTGATGTTGGCAGTGGTTGGTGATGTTGGCAGTGGTTGGTGATGGTGGCAGTGGTTGGTGATTTTGGCAGTGGTTGGTGATGGTGGCAGTGGTTGGTGGTGATGTTGGCAGTGGTTGGTGATGTAGGCAGTGGTTGGTGATGTTGGCAGTGGTTGGTGATGTTGGCAGTGGTTGGTGATGTTGGCAGTGGTTGGTGATGGTGGCAGTGGTTGGTGATGTTGGCAGTGGTTGGTGATGTTGGCACTGGTTGGTGGTGGTAGCAGTGGTTGGTGATGGTGGCAGTGGTTGGTGATGGTGGCAGTGGTTGGTGATAGTGGCAGTGGTTGGTGATGTTGGCAGTGGTTGGTGATGGTGGCAGTGGTTGGTGATGTTGGCAGTGGTTGGTGGTGGTGATGGCAGTGGTTGGTGATGGTGGCAGTGGTTGGTGATGGTGGCAGTGGTTGGTGATGTAGACAGTGGTTGGTGATGGTGACAGTGGTGGTGATGTTGGCAGTGGTTGGTGATGGTGGCAGTGGTTGGTGATATTGGCAGTGGTTGGTGATGGTGGCAGTGGTTGGTGATGGTGGCAGTGGTTGGTGATGGTGGCAGTGGTTGGTGATGGTGGCAGTGGTTGGTGATGTTGGCAGTGGTTGGTGATGTTGGCAGTGGTTGGTGGTGGTGATGGCAGTGGTTGGTGATGGTGGCAGTGGTTGGTGATGATGGCAGTGGTTGGTGGTGGTGATGGCAGTGGTTGGTGATGGTGGCAGTGGTTGGTGATGATGGCAGTGGTTGGTGATGTTGGCAGTGGTTGGTGATGTTGGCAGTGGTTGGTGATGGTGGCAGTGGTTGGTGATGTTGGCAGTGGTTGGTGATGTTGGCAGTGGTTGGTGGTGGTAGCAGTGGTTGGTGATGGTGGCAGTGGTTGGTGATGGTGGCAGTGGTTGGTGATAGTGGCAGTGGTTGGTGATGTTGGCAGTGGTTGGTGATGGTGGCAGTGGTTGGTGATGTTGGCAGTGGTTGGTGGTGGTGATGGCAGTGGTTGGTGATGGTGGCAGTGGTTGGTGATGGTGGCAGTGGTTGGTGATGTAGACAGTGGTTGGTGATGGTGACAGTGGTGGTGATGTTGGCAGTGGTTGGTGATGGTGGCAGTGGTTGGTGATATTGGCAGTGGTTGGTGATGGTGGCAGTGGTTGGTGATGGTGGCAGTGGTTGGTGATGGTGGCAGTGGTTGGTGATGGTGGCAGTGGTTGGTGATGTTGGCAGTGGTTGGTGATGTTGGCAGTGGTTGGTGGTGGTGATGGCAGTGGTTGGTGATGGTGGCAGTGGTTGGTGATGATGGCAGTGGTTGGTGGTGGTGATGGCAGTGGTTGGTGATGGTGGCAGTGGTTGGTGATGATGGCAGTGGTTGGTGATGGTGGCAGTGGTTGGTGATGTTGGCAGTGGTTGGTGATGTTGGCAGTGGTTGGTGGTGGTAGCAGTGGTTGGTGATGGTGGCAGTGGTTGGTGATGGTGGCAGTGGTTGGTGATAGTGGCAGTGGTTGGTGATGTTGGCAGTGGTTGGTGATGGTGGCAGTGGTTGGTGATGTTGGCAGTGGTTGGTGATGTTGGCAGTGGTTGGTGATGTTGGCAGTGGTTGGTGATATTGGCAGTGGTTGGTGATGATGGCAGTGGTTGGTGATGTTTGCAGTGGTTGGTGATGGTGGCAGTGGTTGGTGATATTGGCAGTGGTTGGTGATGGTGGCAGTGGTTGGTGATGGTGGCAGTGGTTGGTGATGTTGGCAGTGGTTGGTGATGTTGGCAGTGGTTGGTGATGTTGGCAGTGGTTGGTGATGTTGGCAGTGGTTGGTGATGGTGGCAGTGGTTGGTGATATTGGCAGTGATTGGTGATGATGGCAGTGGTTGGTGGTGGTGATGGCAGTGGTTGGTGATGGTGGCAGTGGTTGGTGATGTTGGCAGTGGTTAGTGATGTTGGCAGTGGTTGGTGATGGTGACAGTGGTTGGTGATGTTGGCAGTGGTTGGTGATGTTGGCAGTGGTTGGTGATGTTGGCAGTGGTTGGTGATGTTGACAGTGGTTGGTGATGTTGGCAGTGGTTGGTGATCTTGGCAGTGGTCGGTAATGTTGGCAGTGGTTGGTGATGATGGCAGTGGTTGGTGATGGTGGCAGTGGTTGGTGATGTTGGCAGTGGTTGGTGGTGGTGATGGCAGTGGTTGGTGATGGTGGCAGTGGTTGGTGATGGTGGCAGTGGTTGGTGGTGGTGATGGCAGTGGTTGGTGGTGGTGATGGCAGTGGTTGGTGATGTTGGCAGTGGTTGGTGATGGTGGCAGTGGTTGGTGATGGTGGCGACAGTGGTTGGTCGTGGTGATGGCAGTGGTTGGTGGTGGTGATTGATGATGGCAGTAGATGTTGATGGTGATTATGGCAGTGGTTGGTGGTGATGGTCAAAAGTCTGTTAAGGCTATATGGGGGATCATTGCCTTGCGTGTGGTCACATAGAGGTGTGCGCGGTGGTAATGTGGGACATTTGTTGGTGGTGTGTGCGCCCGTCTGCTCAGAACCACTCCAAGGTGGAATTGTCATTCCCCGACGGAAAACATGGTTTGTGCCACCCGTCACGCACATATGTGTCACACACACACACACACATGCGCCACGCACATGGACACACGCATGGACACACGCTTCACACACACGCGTCACACACGCGCGTCACGCACACGCGTCACGGACGCACGTTACACACATGCAGACGTCACACACTCGCGTCACGTGTACACCCCCGCTGGTACTCTCAGTCTATGTCACGTGACTCCCTGATGCGCCGTGTGCTGCGGCGTCAAGCGCGGTAAACGGGCATTGCGATGTGATGCCACGTATGTTTCACGTGCCGTGTTGTCGCGTCGTGTTCCCTGTGATACAGGGAGCGCACAGCTGTGCTGAGATGCCTTGCACGCACCGTTACCCCGGTAGGGTCTGCCACACCACCACCACCACCACCAACCCCACTATCGTCACACCTGCACACCCACTGACATTACACATCCCACCACCACCACCACCACCGAGCCCACGGTCACGCCCTTACGTACCTTATGTCGAACTTCTTTCGCACTGTACGCAGACAACCGTGCTAATCGGAGGCGCCCACTCGCTGAGATTACACACACCCTCACCACCACCATCACCCCTGCCCACGCACTGAAAATGTACCCACCACCACCACCACCACACCTGCCCACCCACTGACATTACACACCCCACCACCACCACCACCACCACACCTGCCCACCCACTGACATTACACACCCCACCACCACACCTGCCCACCCACTGACATTACACACACCACCACCACCACCACACCTGCCCACCCACTGACATTACACACCCCACCATCACCACACCTGCCCATCCATTGACATTACACACACACGTACACACACACGTGCACGCGTGCGTGTACGTGCGCGCTGTAGAGATGTCTCCCTGGTTTTGTCGGTGTGTCGTCTCCGCTCAGGACCCAACTGCGTGGCACTACACCCTCCAGGACGACCGCTACCTCACCCCAATCAACATGGCCGAACAGGTGAGGTACCGTGGGTGAGTGAGTGGGTGGGTGAGAGTGTGCGCGAGTGAATGCGAGTTTGTGTCTTACGGAGGTTCGTTCAAGAATGCCAGTAAGGAAGTTGGAGGCAGTCGCCAACCAGCAAGGGCGGAGGGCGGAGGAGCGACGCTCGCAACAACGAGCGGAGCGCCGGGTGGCTAAAGCATAGCAAGTTGGCACAGTAGGGGGCACAGGTGGTGCATCAGCCAGTCATCTCAGTCAGTCGACCCGTGGCACCTGGGTCTGCCCCGTGACCTCCTGCCAGCGGGCGTTCGACACTTCACGTGGCCTCAACGTGCACATGTCCTGGCACAAGCGTCGTGGTGACGTCACCGCCACTTAGTGGCGAATGGCGGTTGTTGTAACGTGTGTGTGTGTGTAACGCATGTGTGTGTTGTGTGTTGACAGAAACTCTTTAAGCTGGCTCAGGAGTCGGGGAAGAATGCAGCGAAATACATCGTCAACAACTACCCTCACCTCTTCACCAAGCAGCAGGCGGAACCCCACATTCCAGTAGGACACCTCCTCGCTCCTCCTCGCAGCAACTCACACCTCGTCACCTCCTCACTTCACAGCTCCTCATATCTCCCCACGCCTCCTCACAGCTCCTCTCACCTCCTCTCACATCACACCTCGTCGCAGCTCCAGCTCCTCACACATCGTCACAGCTCCACACATCTCTTCTCACCTCGTCAAACCTCACAGCTCCACACAGCTTCTAACACCTTATCACACCTCCTTTACACCTCCTCACAGCTCCCTCACAGCTCCTCTCACCCGCTCACGCCACAGTTGTTACACCCGCACCTCATACTCACACCTCCACACTGCGCTACGAATCCTGAATCTGATTCCCGGCCACCGCCAACATCAGAACCGGTCCTTGGGCCTCCTTGTAGGTCGACCGGGCCTTAAACAGGTACCTGGTGCCGCGTGTAAAACACCGGCACCGGAGAGAGACAAAGGCGGCCGGGCGCGGCGTTGGCCACGTTCCGCCCCCTCACAGGTGCTACTCGCCGACAGCACTTGCCCCAACAGCCTGTGTGGGCTACGCGGGGGAGCTTTGTCCTTGTGTCTGTGTGTGCGGCAGGGGTTTATGCCACAGCAACTGCGTCCGCTGCGGGAGGGCGCCAGCGTGGAGGCGTTGCAGGAGCTCATCGTGCTGCAGCACGCTCAAGCTGCCACCCTCATGTACGACTCGCTGGTGCAGGCCGGTGAGTCGCCCGCTCGGCCGCTCGCTCGCTCGGCCGCTCGCTCACGCGCTCGCTCACTTGCTCATTCACCCGTTCGCTCGCATGCTCACTTGATTTCGCTCGCCCGCCCACTCACTCGCTCGCCCACTCACTCGCTGGCTCACTCGCCCGCTCACTCATTGGCCCACTGCAGCCCCGTGCAGGCCAGCGAGTCGCTCGCTTACTCACTCACCTGCTCGCTCACTCGGTGACCCACTACGGCCTCGTGCAGGCCATTGAGTCGCTCGCTAACTCGCCCTCTCGCTCGCCCGTTCGCCCGCCCGCTCGCCCGCCCGCTCGCTCACCTGCCCACTCGCTCGCCCGCTCGCTTGTTCACTCGCCCGCCCGCCCGCTCGCTCACTCGCTACAAGCACCAGCTGTAGTCCCGCGCAAGAGTCCCGTCACACGTGGCCGCTTGATGGCCCCAGCCGCTCAACTCTTTCGGTTGCCGCGGGCGCCCTGCGTGTGTGTGCCGTGTTGTTTGTCTGCTTAGGAACGGCCGTTCCCATGGAGACGGCCAACCGCCTGCTGGACCTGCTCTGTTTCTACGGCGACCGGGAGCCAGAGGGCAGCCCCACAACGCTGAAGGAAGAAGCTGCCGGGGTAAGGGGCGACACGGGGTCACAGTGTCACGGGGACACAATAGAGACACGGAGACTGGCTTGTTGGCAATGGGGATACGGAGACAGCAGGGAATGGAGACGGGCAGACACGGAGACACTGGGAAATTGAGGACACGGGAACACGAAGACACTGGGAAATTGAGACACAAGGACACAGAGATACTCGGAAATTGAGGACACGGAGACATGGAGACACTGGGAAATTGAGACACAGGGACATGGAGACACGGAGACACAGGAGACATGGGCCAGAGCACTGTGCAGTCCTTCATAAGAGCTCGCTAACACCACTTGCCCCAGCGTCCTGTGTGAGCTACACCGGGGGGTGGAATGTTTGTCTGTACTTGTCCGTGCGTCTGCTGTGGTGGCGGGGGGCGGGGGTGGGGGGGGGGGCGTGGGCGTGTCACCACAGGTCGGGGTGCTCGCCGATCACGAAATGGAGGGAGAGAGCCCCGTGGCGGAGACCGCGGCGGTGGAGGCGGAGGAAGAAGAGGCGGGGGCCGAGGGCGGAGAGAGCGAAGTGGCGGCCGCTGCAGGCCCCGCAGGCCCCACGCCGTTCGCGCAGAGGAGACGGGGCGGCCCGGCCATCCCGGAGCGCACCTGGAGGTGGGGGTGAGGTCCCCCCATTGGGGGGCTCCGTTGGGTTCTCGGTAACCGGGGCGGTGCGAGCATGGACGATGGGTCAGGCAAACACGGTGGCTAGGAGATGTTAACTACCTCGCCCGGTGTGCAGGAGGTCGTGGGTTCGATCCCGACCCCGACGCCTGCTGCTGCTGCTGCTGTATATTTGGAGTCTGCGGTGTCTCTCTCTCTCATCATCATCATCACGGTGGCTAGGAGATGTTAACTACCTCGCCCGGTGTGCACGAGGTCGTGGGTTCGATCCCGACCCCGACGCCTGCTGCTGTGTATTTGGAGTCTGCGGTGTCTCTCTCTCTCTCTCTCCGTGGTCGTGTGGATTTTTCGCCGGGTCCTCCGGTTTTTCCCTCCACGTTCGCAGTATTTGGCTGCTATAAATTTCCGCGTGACGGTGACAAGCCACTTCGTTGAGCTCTCATTTGCGGTCAGGTCGCTTCTGACAAAGAGCTCCTGAGCTCCGTGGGCCTTACCTGCAGAGTGAGTGGCGTCTGTAAGTTCCCTCTCTGCCCCTGTTCTCCGTAAATATCCTCCGGGTTCTCCGGTTTCCTCCCACAGCTGAAAACAACACCACACACACAACAACGACAACAACCGCCATTCGCCACTAAGTGGCGGTGACATCACCACGACGCTTGTGCCAGGCCATGTGCACCTTGAGGCCACGTGAAGTGTCGAACGCCCGCTGGCAGTAGGTCACGGGGCAGACCCAGGTGCCACGGGTCGACTGACTAAGATGACTGGCTGATGCACCACCTGTGCCCCCTACTGTGCCAAGTTGCTGTGCTTTAGCCGCCCGGCGCTCCGCTCGTTGTGAGCGTCGCTCCTCCGCCCTCAGTTGTTGTTGGAGGGCGACTGCCTCCAACTGCCCAGCAGCGTCCTTCACGAGCCTCCTCCACAGAGGCCGATCTTGACACTGTTGGTACCAGTCATCGGCAAGTCCACTCAGCTCCACGTCCTCCTGTACCACATCACTCCATCTCTTCTCTAGCCCGTACCGCGCCCGTTTAGCCCCCTCGATCCGGCCGAACAAAAGCTTTTTAGGCATGCGGTGGCTGGGAATGCGGGCTACATGACCCAGCCAACACATCCTTGCCTGCCGGAGGAGCTCACCGATGGGACTTTGCCCAGATCTTTCAAGGATTCGTGAGCTCCTCATAATCCAGCCTGGTTAAACCCAGGATAGATCGGAGGCAGGCCAGCCTAAATGTTTCTAACCGGCGAAGATGTTCCATTAGAAGGAATGACCGTGGCCGAGAAGACCTGAAGCTTCGTGCGGAGCGACAGACCAGGCAGCTTCCACACAGCGTTACGCAACCGATGAAAAGTTATTGCCGCTCGACTGATTCGGAGTGAGACCTCCGCTGCCAAACTGGAGCCAGTCATGAGCACACTGCCCAGGTATGGGAAACTCTCCACTCTCTCCACAACTGCCCCATCACCGATTGGGAGTTGTGGGGGTGGACTGTCCGATGGTACAAAATACCCAGGCAGGTGCTTAGTTTTAGTGGGGCTGATGGTAAGGCCCCACCTCTTAGTGGCACGCTCCAGTCTCAGCAGCAGCGTCTCCAACTCCTCCTCTGAATGGGCAGCTATTACCAAATCATCGGCATACATACCGTGGTTGACCAATAGGGAGCCATCCCTGAGGACACACATTCACGTGCACACACGCGCGTGCACATGGCGAGTATGCAGGCCGGGCGTAAAACCGGCCACGCCACCACCCCCCATTACCATGCACGTGGCGCTCCGAGCCCTTAATAGGCGCTCGCTAACCAGCGCTGGCGTCATGCGCGTGGCTGAGCGGGGGCTGCGCTGCGCGTGTGTCCACGGCAGGGAGCGGTGGCGCAGCGGTTAGCGCACTCCGCCACGAGACCGCCCACCCGAGGTTCGATTCCCGCTCGCGACCAATAGCAGAATCACGTAGCCTTGAATGAGTACCTGGCGTGGTGTGTACACATCAGCATTTGGGAGGCAAAGGTCGTGGTGCTGACCACCCACCCCCTCATGGACTGTGGCGGCCTTCGTAGGCGCTACTCGCTAACGGCACTTGCCCCGACCGTCTGTCAAGGCTACACGGGGGACCTTTGTCTTTGTAGAGCGGGGAACAACGCGGAGAGGATCTTTAACTCCATGCCGGAGCGGGATGCTCACTCCTACTGCGCCATGATCCAGGGCATGGTAAAGGTGAGTGCACTATCGCACTGATGCACACGCACGAACAACGCACAAAGACATAGAACCCCCGTACAGCCTTAACAGGCTGTAGGGGCAAGTGCTCTTAGCGAGTAGCACCTATGAAGGTCAGCACGGCACACGAGGGGGTGGGTATGCAACACCACGCCCGGCCGCCTTTGTCTCCCGAGTGGCGATGTTTACACACCGCACCAGGTAATCATTTGAGGCTGAGTCGACCTAGGGGAGGCCCAGGGACCGGTTCAGATAATCGTCACTGGTGTTGGCCGTGAGCGGGAATCGAACTGTGGTCGCCGGGTTCGTAGCACAACGCGCTAACCGCGACACTACCGCACTAACGCAGACGCACTAAGGCCCACATTGATCCCCCCACAAAGATCCCCTGAGTCGACCTAGGGGAGGCCCAGGACCGGTTCAGATAATCGTCGCCGGGTTCGTAGCGCAGTGCACTAACCATTGCGCCACCGCTCCCCATTCTTGCGTGCACATGCGTGCACACGCACGTAATGACGGGCCAGGTACGGCGGAATTACCAATCACAAATTAACGGAACCGCGTAATGTACATGAACACGTACAAGATGTACATAAACATTGGCGCTGAACCGTGCACCGTGTACTCTGGATGCAAGCTGTGTCTGCAATTTAGATGTGGATTGTAATTGTAATTAGAGGACGTGTTTCAATTACATGTCATTTAAATGAAATCAACATTCCATGTGATTTAAATCGCATGCAATTTAACCTCTGTCCACCTCTGTAGTGTACGCACGCAATGTGCACAGATGTGCAAATAGAGACAAATATCCCCTTTATAGCCTTAACAGGCTGTTGGGGCAAGTGCTGTTGGTGTGTAGCAGCACCTACGAAGGCCGGCACGGCACACGAGGGGATGGGGGTGTCCAACACCACGCCCGGCCGCCTTTGTCTCCCTAGTGGCGATGATAACACATCGCTCCAGGTACTCATTTGAGGCTGAGTCGACCTCGGGGAGTCCCAGGACCGGTTCAGACAATCGTCACTGGGTGTTGGGTGGCCGTGAGCGGGAATCGAACTCGGGTCGCCGGGTTTGTGGTGCAGCGCGCTGAGCACTGCGCCACCGCTCCCCACACTCGCGTACACACGGAGACACCGGCACACGTATGTGCACATGCAAGAACAAACAATCTGATAGGCCACGTTGTGGGCGGGGATGGGGGGACCTTTGTCGTCTGCAGCACCGGGCAGCGGAGGAAGCGTTCAACCTCTTGGTAGAGATGACCAACTCTGGACTTAAAGGTGCGCTCACACCTACTCACACCTACTCACACCTACTCACACCCGCACACACCTACTCACACCTACTCAAACCCACACACATCTACAGTGAGGGAAAAAGTATTTGATCCCCTGCCGACTTTGTACGTTTGCCCACTGACAAATAAATTATCAGTCTATAATTTTAATGGTAGGTTTATTTGAACAGTGAGAGACAGAATAACAACAACAAAATCCGGAAAAACGCATGTCAAAAATGTTATAAATTCATTTGCATTTTAATGAGGGAAATAAGTATTTGACCCCCTCTCAATCAAAAAGATTTATGGCTCCCAGGTGTCTTTTATACAGGTAACGAGCTGAGATTAAGAGCACACTCTTAAGGGGAGTGCTCCTAATCTCAGCTCGTTACCTGTATAAAAGACACCTGTCCACAGAAGCAATCAATCAGATTCCAAATTCTCCACCATGGCCAAGACCAAAAAGCACTCCAAGGATGTCAGGGACAAGATTGTAGACCTACACAAGGCTGGAATTGGCTACAAGACCATTGCCAAGCAGCTTGGTGAGAAGGTGACAACAGTTGGTGCGATTATTCACAAATGGAAGAAACACAAAAGAACTGTCAATCTCCCTCGGCCTGGGGCTCCATGCAAGATCTCACCTCGTGGAGTTGCAATGATCATGAGAACGGTGAAGAATCAGCCTAGAACTACACGGGAGGATTTTGTCAATGATCTCAAGGCAGCTGGGACCATAGTCACCAAGAAAACAATTGGTAACACACTACGCCGTGAAGGACTGAAATCCAGCAGTGCCCGCAAGGTCCTCCTGCTCAAGAAAGCACATATACATGCCCGTCTGAAGTTTGCCAATGAACATTTGAATGATTCAGAGGACAACTGCGTGTAAGTGTTGTGGTCAGATGAGACCAAAATGGAGCTCTTTGGCATCAACTCAACTCGCCGTGTTTGGAGGAGGAGGAATGCTGCCTATGACCCCGAGAACACCATCCCCACCGTCAAACATGGAGGTGGAAACATTATGCTTTGGGGGTGTTTTTCTGCTAAGGGGACAGGACAACTTCACCGCATCAAAGGGACGATGGACGGGGCCATGTACCGTCAAATCTTGGGTGAGAACCTCCTTCCCTCAGCCAGGGCATTGAAAATGGGTCGTGGATGGGTATTCCAGCATGACAATGGCCCAAAACACACGGCCAAGGCAACAAAGGAGTGGCTCAAAAAGAAGCACATTAAGGTCCTGGAGTGGCCTAGCCAGTCTCCAGACCTTAATCCCATGGAAAATCTGTGGAGGGAGCTGAAGGTTCGAGTTGCCAAACGTCAGCCTCGAAACCTTAATGACTTGGAGAAGATCTGCAAAGTGGAGTGGGACAAATCCCTCCTGAGATGTGTACAAACCTGGTGGCCAACTACAAGAAACGTCTGATCTCTGTGATTGCCAACAAGGGTTTTGCCACCAAGTACTAAGTCATGTTTTGCAGAGGGGTCAATACTTCTTCTTTGGTTCTTTCAGTAAAGTCACGTAGAATGAGAATAAAATAATAAAATAAAATAAGACAATAAAATTCTCACGACGTTTCGGCCACAACACAAGTAGCCTTCATCAGGTGAAAGAACAGAACTGTCGGGACGACAGTGCTTCAATGAGCGTTGCTAAGATTCGTGGCGTCTTTTAAGCTCGGTGAGAGGCGTGAAACGTCTTGACAAAGGAGTTTACGGTATCAAAGCAGGAGAATTTAGCATTGAAATAGCTGAGGGATTAGCTTGTGACAGAAATAGCTATGTTAAAGGCAAAGTTTACCTATCAACAGAGGCATTTAGTTTATGGACGCTAAAGGCCTTCAACTACCCAACTATCATACAGTAAACCGATGTGAAAAAAACCAAGTCTATATTACATCAGTATAATAAATGTACTTAATATATTCTTCAATAAGCTGAGCTATTAATCACAAAGCAACTGGGTATACACTACACTATATAATGAAAACCATATGGTAAACCAATAAAAAAAACTAAAATATATACTACCACAGTGTTATCAATAAACTCTATATACTCTCCAATCAGCTGAGCAACACAACAACAAGTCGTTATATATCACAATGCCATATGGCGAAAAATTGTGGGTTTTTTTTTCCCTTCCCCTCAATGCCAGCACCACGGACAGCGAACAAGCCCCGTTCAGACGGACGAGTCAGTCCATGCTCGGAACGGAGGAGGGAGGAGAGAAACAGCCACGATGCGCTGTTATACTCCATGTTATAAAGACGTTTCACGCCTCTCGCCGAGCTTTGAAGACGCTACGAATCTTAGCAACGCTCATTGAAGCACTGTCGTCCCGACAGTTCTGCTCTTTCACCTGATGAAGGCTACTTGTGTTGTGGCGGAAACGTCGTGAGAATTTGATTGTGTTTTATTTTATTATTTTATTCTCATTCTACGTTACTTTACCGAAAGAACCAAAGAAGATGAATTCTTGCAGTCACGAAAGCTTTAAATCGGGTCAATACTTATTTCCCTCATTAAAATGCAAATCAATTTATAACATTTTTGACATGCGTTTTTCTGGATTTTGTTGTTGTTATTCTGTCTCTCACTGTTCAAATAAACCTACCATTAAAATTATAGACTGATCATTTCTTTGTCAGTGGGCAAACGTACAAAATCAGCAGGGGATCAAATACTTTTTTTCCCTCACTGTACTTAGACCTACACACACCTACTCACACCTACGCACACTCGCTCACACCTACACACACCTGCTCACACCTACTGACACCCGCACACACCTACTCACACCTACTCACACCTACTCACCTGCACACACTTGCACACACCTGCTCACACCTACTCACACCTACTCACACCTACTCACACCTGCTCACACCTACTCACACCTACTCACACCTGCTCACACCTACGCACACCTACGCACACCTACTCACACCCACACACACCCACTCACACCTACACACAGCTACTCACACCTACTCATACCCGCTCGCACCTACTCACACCCACTCACACCCACTCACACCTACTCACACCCACACACACCTACAAAGACAAAGATCCCCGTATAGCCTTAACAGACTGTAGGGGCAAGTGCTGTTAGCGAGCACCTATGAAGGCCAGGGGGTGGGTGGCCAGCACTACACCCGACCGCCTTTGTCTCCCTAGTGGCGATGTTTACACACCGCACCAGGTACTCATTTGAGGCTGAGTCGACCTAGGGGAGGCCCAGGACCGGTTCAGATAATCGTCACTGGTGTTGGCCGTGGGCGGGAATAGAACCCGGGTCGCCAGGTTCATTGCGCAGTGTAGCGCTAACCGCTACACCACCGCTCCCCACACTCACACCTACTCACACCCACTCACACCTACTCACACCTACTCACACCTGCTCACACCTACTCACACCTACTCACACCTGCTCACACCTACGCACACCTACGCACACCTACTCACACCCACACACACCCACTCACACCTACACACAGCTACTCACACCTACTCATACCCGCTCGCACCTACTCACACCCACTCACACCCACTCACACCTACTCACACCCACACACACCTACAAAGACAAAGATCCCCGTATAGCCTTAACAGACTGTAGGGGCAAGTGCTGTTAGCGAGCACCTATGAAGGCCAGGGGGTGGGTGGCCAGCACTACACCCGACCGCCTTTGTCTCCCTAGTGGCGATGTTTACACACCGCACCAGGTACTCATTTGAGGCTGAGTCGACCTAGGGGAGGCCCAGGACCGGTTCAGATAATCGTCACTGGTGTTGGCCGTGGGCGGGAATAGAACCCGGGTCGCCAGGTTCATTGCGCAGTGTAGCGCTAACCGCTACACCACCGCTCCCCACACTCACACCTACTCACACCCACTCACACCTACTCACACTTACACACACACTTACACACACACACACCTGCTCACACCTACTCACACCCACTCACACCTACTCACACCCACTCACACCCACACACACCTACTCACACCTACTCACACCTACTCACATCTACACACACATAATCACACCTACTCACACCTACACACACCTACTCACACCCACTCACACCTACTCACACCTGCACACACACACCTACTCACACCCACTCACACCTACTCACACCCACTCACACCCACACACACTTACTCACACCTACTCACACCTACGCACAGCTGCTCACACCTACTCACACCCACACACACCTACTCACACCTACTCACAGCTGTTCACACCCACACACACCTGCTCACACCTACTCACACCTACTCACACCTGCTCACACCTACTCAAACCTGCACACACTTACACACACCTGCTCACACCTACTCACACCTACTCACACCTGCTCACACCTACTCAAACCTGCACACACTTACATACCTACTCACACCTACGCACACCTGCTCACACCTGCTCACACCCGCACACACGTGCACACACCTACACACACCTACTACTCACACCTGCTCACACCAGCGCACAGCTGCTCACACCTGCTCACACCTAACTCACACCTACTCACACCTACTACTCACACCTACTCACTCCTGTGCATGCTGTGTGTGTGCTGTGTGTGTGCTGTGTGTGTGTGCGTGCTGTGTATGTGCTGCGTGTGTGTGTGTGTGTGCGTGCTGTGTGTGTGTGCTGCGTGTATGTGCTGTGTGCGTGCTGTGTGTGTGTGCTGTGTGTGTGTGCTGTGTGTGTGTGCTGTGTGTGTGCTGTGTGTGTGTGCTGTGTGTGTGTGCTGCGTGTGTGTGCTGCGTGTGCGCTGTTCCCGTCTGTTGCATGTGCGCTGCGTGTGATCCCTGTGTGCTGTTTGTGCTGTGTGTGATGCTTGTGTGTGTGCTGCGTGTGCGCTGCGTGTGTGCTGTGCTTGTGCTGCGTGTGCGTGCTGTGCTTGTGCTGTGTGTGATGCGCGTGTGTGTGCTGCGTGTGTGCTGTGCTTGTGCGCTGCTTGTGCGCTGCGTGTGTACTGCTCTGGTGTGCTCTGTGTGTGTAGCCAACTTGTACGCGTACAACGCTATCATCAGCGCCATCCCCGTGCTGCGCCAGAAGGACGCTGACCGCAAGGACCTGCTGCTGGTAAAGACAGAGGTCCCCCGTGTAGCCTTAACAGACTGTTGGGGCAAGTGCTGTGAGTGTGTAGCGCAGGGGTGACGGAGGGGGCCGGTGCCAGGAACAGATGGATGGAGTGTTTGTGCGAACTGAATGTAAATGACGTGTCAAAAATCATTACGTGAAAGGATTTGGCCTTTAACAGGTAGCGAAGCATTTATTTGCGAGGCAATTTAACAAATTGCACGAACACGAACGATACAAAAACACGTCGTGACTCCCGGTCAAAGTGCGCCATCTAATGGAGAAATGGGGGCATGACAGGAGAAAGGTAAAATTTAATTTAATAATAATGATAATAATATATGGACAAGTTCGGTGGGCCGGATTAAAAATCCCAACGGGCCTTATCCGGCCCGGGGGCCGTACTTTGCCCACGTCTGGTGTAGCGCCTACGAAGGCCGGCACGCCACACTAGGCGGTGGCGTGGCCAGAACCACGGCCGGCCTCCTTTGCCCTCCCAGTGCCGATGTTTTACACGCTGCAGCACCAGCTGCTGCTCATTTGAGGCTGAGTCGAACGAGGGGAGGCCCAGGGCCGGTGCAAATATCCACCGTTGAATATTTGCACCGAACTCTGTTTGCCGGGTTCGTAGCGCGGTGCAGAATCAGAAATCAGAAAGGGTTTTATTCGCCATGAAAGTTCACACCGACACGGAATTTACTTTGGCAGGATGGTGCATACGTTCAACATATAGGAATCTAAAATCTTAAATAAGTTTTAAACAAGTCTTACTGTAATAATAAGGGTTAAACGTCTAACTAACACCAAGGGGCTGAAGTATATAAAATTGAATAAATATCGAATATAAAATAGCTTTAAGATATAACAAAAAAATAAAAAACACAAATAGGTTAACATAGTTAATATCGGCAAGGTGTCATTATGTAGTGCTAACAGCTGCGCTGCCGCTGGTGCACGCATGCGCGGCAACATGCACGCGCATACCTGCAGAAGTTAAAAAGACAAAGATCGCCCGTATAGTCTACGTCGTTTAAAAGGCTCCACGCGTACTCCTGGGGAACTGGCTTCTTGCACGCGTGCAGCGATGCTGATGTCGGTGGCGGTGTTGTTTGCGGTGACGCCGTTGGTGGCGATGATACCGTGGGGGTTGTGGCGGTCGTGTGGTGGTGGTGATGCCGACGTTGTTGGTTGTTGTTGCTGCGGGTGGTATCGGAGGTGTCAATCGGTTGACACGGTGAGGAGATGTTAACTCCCTCGCCTGGTGTGCGGGAAGTCGGGGGTTCGATCTCGACGCTGACGCCTGCTGTACATTTAAGAGTTTGCGTGTCTCTCTCTCTCTCTCCCGTGGTCACGTGGAATTTTTCTCCCCAGGCCCTCCGGTTTTTCCCTCCACAATTAGAATCGGCGTCACGCGTTTCGATGATTTCGATGATTTCGATGATTTGGCTGCTACAAATGTCCACGTGATGTTAAGCCACTTTGTTGAGCTCTCATTTGTGGCCAGGTCGCTTCTGAAAAAGAAGATGATAGCTCAGTGGGCCATGTCTGGTACAATAAAAAAAAGAGCTTTGTAGCTCATCATATTTCTCTGGTATAAATAAAGATTCTGATTCTGTATTGACCTGCAACACGTGGGTCTGTCCCGTGACCTCCTGCCAACGGCGAGCCTTCCACACTTCACGTGATCGCCTCAAGGTGCACCTAGCCTGGCACAAGTGCTGTGGTGACCTCACCATCCGCTTGGTGGCTGTTGTTGATGTCGGTGGGTGGGGGTGGCGGTGGCGGTGGTGATGTTCACGATGTTGTTGGTGACGGTATTGGTGGTATTAATGTTGTGATGGTGGTTGTGGTGGTGGTGATTGTGGTGGTGGTGGTTGTGATGGTGGTCTTTGTTGTGGTGGTGGTGATCGTGGTGGTGGTGGTGGTTGTGGTGGTGGTTGTGATGGTGGTTTTTGTTGTGGTGGTGGTGATGGTGGATGTTATGGTGGTGATCGTGGTGGTGTTTGTGGTGGTGGTTGTGGTGGTGGTGATCGTGGTGGTGGTGGTTGTGGTAGGACCTGCTGAAGGCCATGCTGGACCAGGGCGTGCGCCCCACCGTCCTCACGTTCAACGCAGCGCTCAAGGCCCTGCGCCGGATGGGACCGTACGCACGGACATACAGCCTGGCCATGCTGGCCGAGATGCGGGCCCTCGGCATTAGTACGTACACACGCACGCACGCCTGTACATGCACACACGTGCACACACGTACGCACGCCTGCAGCCTCGTCATGCTGGCCGAGATGCGGGCCCTCGGCATTAGTACGTACGCACGTACACACACACACACATGCGAACACACGTACGTACACCAACAGCCACGGTATTCCTACTGACGCACGCACGCGTACACGCACGCGTACACGCACGCACACAAAGACAAAGACGCGCACACTAAGATCCCCGTCTAGCCTTAATAGACTGTAGGGGCAAGTGCTGTTAGCGAGCACCTGTGAAGGCAGGCACGACACACAAGGGGGTGGGGTGGCCAACACCACGCCCGGCCACGCACACACACGTACACACACAACAACAACAACAACCGCCATTCGCCACTAAGTGGCGGTGACGTCACCACGACGCTTGTGCCAGGCCATGTGCACCTTGAGGCCACGTGAAGTGTCGAACGCCCGCGGGCAGGAGGTCACGGGGCAGACCCAGGTGCCACGGGTCGACTGACTGAGATGACTGGCTGGTGCACCACCTGTGCCTCCTACTGTGCCAACCTGCTGTGCTTTAGCCACCCGGCGGTCCGCTCATTGTTGTGAGCGTCGCTCCTCCGCCCTCCGTTGTTGTCAAGATCGGCCACTCAGCTCCACTTCCTCCTGTACCACATCACTCCATCTCTTCTCTAGCCCGTGCTGCGCCCGTTTAGCCCTCTCGATCCGGCCGAACAAAATCTGTTTCGGCATGCGGTGGCTGGGCATGCGGGCTACATGACCCAGCCAACGCAGCCTTGCCTGCCGGAGGAGCTCACCGATGGGAACTTGCCCAGATCTTTCAAGGATTTGTGAGCTCCTCACACAATCCAGCCTGGTTAAACCCAGGATGGATCGTAGGCAGGCCAGCCTAAATGTTTCCAACCGGCGAAGATGCTCCATTAAGGGGGTCCACGTTTCGCAAGTGTAGAGAAGGGAGGGAATGACTGTGACCGAGAAAACCTGAAGCTTAGTGCGGAGCGACAGACCAGGTAGCTTCCACACAGCGTTACGCAACCGATGAAAAGATATTGCCGCTCGACTGATTCGGAGTGAGACCTCTGCTGTTAAACTGGAGCCGGTCATAAGCACACTGCCCAGGTATGGGAAACTCTCCACTCTGTCCACAACTGCCCCATCACCGATTGGGAGTTGTGGGGGTGGAGTGTCCGATGGTACAAAATACCCAGGCAGGTGCACACACACGTACACACACGTACACACACGTACAGCCTCACCATGCTGGCCGAGATGCAGGCCCTCGGCTTGCAGTATGTACACACACACATGTTGCACGCGAACACGTGTGCCTTTGTTTGTTTGTGCGCTCAGAGCCAAGCCTGGCGAGCTACCACCGCCTACTCAACATTCACTGCAGGAGTGAGTATTCCTTACATACACACACACATATTTATAGACAAAGATCCCCGTATAGCCTAAACCAGCAGTCCCCGACCTTTTTGGCACCAGGGACCGGTTTCAAAGAAGCTCTCCAACGACGTTTGTTTTTTACTCATTGTCGCTACTAGGGGTCAGCTTGTGGGCTTACTCCTTGTGGCTACTAGGGGCCAGCTTGTGTGCTTACTCATTGTGGTTACTAGGGTTAGATCTTGTGGACTTACTCATTATGGCTACTAGGGGTTAGCTTGTGGGCTTACTCCTTGTGGGTACTAGGGGTTAGAGCTTGTGGGCTTACTCATTGTGGCTGGGCTTACTCATTGTGGCTACTAGGGGTTAGCTTGTGGGCTTACTCATTGTGGCTACTAGGGGTCAGCTTGTGGGCTTACTCATTGTGGCTACTAGGGGTCAGCTTGTGGGCTTACTCATTGTGGCTACTAGGGGTTAGCTTGTGGGCTTACTCCTTGTGGTTACTAGGGGTTAGAGCTTGTGGGCTTACTCATTGTGGCTACTAGGGGTTAGCTTGTGGGCTTACTCATTGTGGCTACTAGGGGTTAGCTTGTGGGCTTACTCATTGTGGCTACTAGGGGTTAGCTTGTGGGCTTACTCATTGTGGCTACTAGGGGTTAGAGCTTGTGGGCTTACTCATTGTGGCTACTAGCGGTTAGAGCTTGTGGGCTTACTCATTGTGGCTACTAGGGGTTAGCTTGTGGGCTTACTCATTGTGGCTACTAGGGGTTAGCTTGTGGGCTTACTCATTGTGGCTACTAGGGGTTAGAGGTTGTGGGCTTACTCATTGTGGCTACTATGGGTTAGAGCTTTGTGGGCTTGCTCATTGTGGCTACTAGGGGTTAGAGCTTGTGGGCTTACTCATTGTGGCTACTAGGGGTTAGCTTGTGGGCTTACTCATTGTGGCTACTAGGGGTCAGCTTGTGGGCTTACTCATTGTGGCTGGGCTTACTTATTGTGGCTACTAGGGGTTACAGCTTGTAGGCTTACTCCTTGTGGCTACTAGGGGTTAGAGCTTGTGGGCTTACTCATTGTGGCTACTAGAGGTTAGCTTGTGGGCTTACTCATTGTGGCTACTAGGGGTTAGAGCTTGTTGTGGGCTTACTCATTGTGGCTACTAGGGGTTAGCTTGTGGGGTTACTCATTGTGGCTACTAGGGGTCAGCTTGTGGGCTTACTCATTGTGGTTACTAGGGGTTAGAGCTTGTGGGCTTACTCATTGTGGCTACTAGGGGTCAGCTTGTGGGCTTACTTATTGTGGCTGCTAGGGGTTACAGCTTGTGGGCTTACTCATTGTGGCTACTAGGGGTCAGCTTGTGGGCTTACTCATTGTGGCTACTAGGGTTAGAGTTTGTGGGCTTACTCCTTGTGGCTACTAGGGGTTAGAGCTTGTGGGCTTACTCCTTGTGGCTACTAGGGGTTAGCTTGTGGGGTTACTCATTGTGGCTACTAGGGGTCAGCTTGTGGGCTTACTCATTGTGGCTATTAGGGGTTAGAGCTTGTGGGCTTACTCATTGTGGCTACTAGGGGGTTAGAGCTTGTGGGCTTACTCATTGTGGCTACTAGGGGTCAGCTTGTGGGCTTACTCATTGTGGCTACTAGGGGTTAGCTTGTGGGCTTACTCATTGTGGCTACTAGGGGTCAGCTTGTGGGCTTACTCATTGTGGCTACTAGGGGTCAGCTTGTGGGCTTACTCATTGTGGCTACTAGGGGTTAGAGCTTGTGGGCTTACTCATTGTGGCTACTAGGGGTTAGCTTGTGGGCTTACTCATTGTGGCTACTAGGGTTAGCTTGTGGGCTTACTCATTGTGGCTACTAGGGGTTAGCTTGTGGGCTTACTCATTGTGGCTACTAGGGGTCAGCTTGTGGGCTTACTCATTGTGGCTACTCGGGATTAGCTTGTGGGCTTACTAATTGTGGCTACTAGGGGTTAGCTTGTGGGCTTACTCATCTTGGCTACTAGGGGTCAGCTTGTGGGCTTACTCATTGTGGTTACTAGGGGTTAGCTTGTGGGCTTTTTACCAACACTCTGACTGAGACTGAGTGCGTAGTGCGGCAAAGAGGCGCGGACGGAAGTGGTGAATAATAAAATCATGGAGGCGGGGGGCCACGCGCGGACTCACCGCTCTCACCTCGTGCTGCTGTGCGGCCCGGTTCCTAGCAGGCCAGGGACCGGTCCCGGTCCGCGGCCCGGGGGTTGGGGACCCCTGGCCTAAACAGACTGAGTAGCGCCTGTGAAGGCACCTATGAGATGGTCAGTAGCCAGCACCACGCCCTGCCGTCATTGTTTTGCCTAATGGCGATGTTTATACACCGCACCAGGCATTCATTTTAGACTGAGTCGACCTTTGGGAGGCCTTGGAACAGTTTAAATATTCGTTGGTGTTGGCTGTGAGCGGGGAATCGAACTCGGGTCGCCAGGTTCATAGTGAAGAAGGCTCACCGCTTCGCCGCCGCTCCCCGTACACACGTACACAAGTACAACATCAACAACCGTCATTCGCCACAAAGTGGCAGTGACATTACCACGGCGCTTGTGCCAGGCTATGTGCACTTTGAGGCCACTTGAAGTGTCGAAGGCTCACTGGCAGGAGGTCACGAGACAGACCCAGGTCCAATGGGTTGACTGATGTGTCAAGCTCGGTGCAGGAGGTCACAGTTCAGACCCAGGTGTTACAGCTTGACTGATGTGTCAAGCTAGGTACAGGAGGTCACAGTTCAGACCCAGGTGTTACAGGTTGACTGATGTGCCAAGCTAGGTACAGGAGGTCACAGGACAGAGCCAAGTGTTACGGGTTGACTGATGTGTCAAGCTAGGTACAGGAGGTCACAGGACAGACCCAGGTGTTACAGGTTGACTGATGTGTCAAGCTAGTTACAGGAGGTCACAGTTCAGACCCAAGTGTTACAGGTTGACTGATGTGCCAAGCTAGTTACAGGAGGTCACAGGACAGGCCCAGGTGTTACGGGTTGACTGATGTGTCAAACTAGTTTCAGGAGGTCACAGGGCAGACCCAGGTGTTACGGGTTGACTGATGTGCCAAGCTAGGTGCAGGAGGTCACAGGACAGAGCCAAGTGTTATAGGTTGACTGATGTGTCAAGCTAGGTACATGAGGTCACAGGACAGACCCAAGTGTTACGGGTTGACTGATGTGTCAAGCTAGGTGCAGGAGGTCACAGGACAGAGCCAAGTGTTATAGGTTGACTGATGTGTCAAGCTAGGTACAGGAGGTCACAGGACAGACCCAAGTGTTACGGGTTGACTGATGTGCCGAGCTAGGTGCAGGAGGTCACAGGACAGGCCCAGGTGTTACGGGTTGACTGATGTGTCAAGCTAGGTGCAGGAGGTCACAGGACAGGCTCAGGTGTTACAGGTTGACTGATGTGTCAAGCTAGGTGCAGGAGGTCACAGGACAGAGCCAAGTGTTATAGGTTGACTGATGTGTCAAGCTAGGTACAGGAGGTCACAGGGCAGACCCAGGTGTTATGGGTTGACTGATGTGTCAAGCTAGGTTCAGGAGGTCACAGGACAGGCCCAGGTGTTACGGGTTGACTGATGTGTCAAGCTAGGTTCAGGAGGTCACAGGACAGACCCAGGTGTTACGGGTTGACTGATGTGTCAAGCTAGGTTCAGGAGGTCACAGGACAGAGCCAAGTGTTACGGGTTGACTGATGTGTCAAGCTCGGTGCAGGAGGTCACAGGACAGGCCCAGGTGTTACGGGTTGACTGATGTGTCAAGCTAGGTTCAGGAGGTCACAGGACAGACCCAGGTGTTACGGGTTGACTGATGTGTCAAGCTAGGTGCAGGAGGTCACAGGACAGACCCAGGTGTTACAGGTTGACTGATGTGTCAAGCTAGGTTCAGGAAGTCACAGGACAGGCCCAGGTGTTACGGGTTGACCGGCAGATTCACCATCTGTGCTGCCCACTGTGCCACTTAGCTGCGTTTTAGCCGTTCGGATAAATCGTTGGTGGTATGAATGGTGTTGCGCGCGGTACTGCATGGTTGTGTGTGGCCAGGATGTGGTGAAGTTCTGTACTCTTCCCCCTACACCCCAGGTTCAGATTCAATGCAGAGCTCGGCCGCCGACTTGATATCCGAGGTCCTGGAGATTCTCAACGGGGAGAACTTGCAGTGCCATGACCCTGAAGACGGTCAGCCACAACACCCTGCAGCCACAACACCCTGCAGACACAACACCCTGCAGCCACAACACCCTGCAGCCACAACACCCTGCAGCCACAACACCCTGCAGCCACAACACCCTGCAGTCACAACACACTGCAGCCACAACACCCTGCAGACACAACACCCTGCAGCCACAACACCCTGCAGCCACAACACCCTGCAGTCACAACACACTGCAGCCACAACACCCTGCAGACACAACACCCTGCAGCCACAACACCCTGCAGCCACAACACCCTGCAGACACAACACCCTGCAGCCACAACACCCTGCAGCCACAACACCCTGCAGACACAACACCCTGCAGCCACAACACCCTGCAGTCACAACACACTGCAGCCACAACACCCTGAAGACACAGCACCCTGAAGACACAACACCACGCAGCCACAACAACCTGCAGCCACAATACCCTGCAGCCACAACACACTGCAGCCACAACACGCTTCAGACACAACACCCTGCAGCCACAACACCCTGCAGCCACAGCACCCTACAGACACAGCACCCTGCAGACACAACACCCAAATGCCACAACACCCAACAACCACAACACCCTGCAGACACAACACCCTAATGCCACAACACCCCAATGCCACAACACCCCACTGCCACAACACCCCACTGCCACAACACCCCACTGCCACAGCACCCCAATGCCACAACACCCCAATGCCACAACACCCTGCAGACACAACACCCTGCAGTCACAACACCCCACTGCCACAACACCCAACAACCACAACACCCCAATGCCACAACACCCCACTGCCACAACACCCCAATGCCCCAACACCCCACTGCCACAACACCCCGCAGTCACAACACCCCACTGACACAACACCCAACAACCACAACACTCTCCGAGCACAAGACCCGACCATAACACTCGCTCCACACAACACCCGCCGCAATTCAGCACCCTCTCACAAGCATCAGCCCTTAGAGTCTGCCAAACACAACAACCGGTCTTCACCAACAACACCCGCCCTTCGGAAAACCACCCCAACATCATGCTGACACCACCACGCACTCACCTGTGTGCGCGTGCGTGAGTGTGCGCGTGTGTGAGTGTGCGCGTGTGCGAGTGTGCGCGTGTGTGAGTGTGTGCGTGTGTGAGTGTGTGCGTGAGTGTGCGCGTGTGTGAGTGTGCGCGTGTGTGAGTGTGCGCGTGTGTGAGTGTGCGCGTGTGTGAGTGTGCGCGTGTGTGAGTGTGCGAGAGTGCGAGTGTGTGCGTGTGTGCGTGTGTGCGTGTGTGCGTGTGTGAGTGTGTGCGAGTGTGTGAGTGTGCGAGTGTGTGTGGGGAGCGGCCAGGGGCGGAGCCAGGATTTCAGGCCGGGGTGACATTCAACAAATTTTTATTTCAAGAATGATTTAGAGAGTCAGGCTGTTGAACCAGACGCCATCGGTTGGCGACACGCTTTGACAATCAATGCAGTTTCACGGAGTCCGCCAGACCCGAGTGTCGTACACTTACACGCAGAATGTCACCCCTGTCACCCCCCCCCCCCCCCCCTGGCTCCGCCCCTGGGAGCGGCGGTTAGCGCACCGCACTTCGAACCCCGTGACCCGAGTTCGATTCCCGCTCACGGCCGACCAACACCGGTGACGATTCTCTGAAACGGCCCGGTCCTGGGCTTCCCCTAGGTCGAATCGGCCTGAAATGAGTGCCTCGTGCGGTGTGCAATGAACATCGGCATTGGGGAGACAGAGGCGGCCGGCCGTGGTGCAGGCCACACCACCCACTCGTGCGCCATGCCGGCCTTAATGTGATAACGGGTGCTCGCCAACAGCACTTGCCCCAACCGTCTGTTGAGGCTATATGGGGGGGGGGGTCTTTGTCAACAGGAGGTGCCGTGGGGAAGGACAGCAAACTAAACACACAAAAAGCAGTTCAAAGGAAATTCGTTTTTCAATCTACAGTGAAACCTTGGATTGCGAGTAGCTTGGTCTGCGAGTGTTTTGCAAGCGAGGGTCTTGCAACACGAGCAGCACGTGTACACGCTTTGTACTGCCGAGCGTCACGTGATCACAACTGACATACGAGTGCTTTGATATACGAGTGCTTTGGCTTACAAACACGTTTCCGGAACGAATTATGCTCCTCGCAATGCAAGGTTTTACTGTAGGTGATTTAAGAGTGCATAGCCCCAGTGGCTTACTGATGTCGAGGCGTTGATCGGCACTCCCCATCCCGTCGGCTGGTAGCTCCCCCTTCTCGTCAACAGGGGGCGGTAGCGCCAACACGCCACTGTTGGTGACCTTGGCCCAACGGGTGCCAACGACAATCCCAGAGAAGCGGATCCTGGGACACATTCCCCCGGCACCCCGGGAGGGGGGACCGGGGGATGACGTCACCTTCCAGAAAGTTCTGGAAGGGAGGCGTGGCTAGGGCGGAGCAAGCCACCGACCAGGTATATGAGCCCGGACCTCTCAAGGGTCCGGGTTCAGTCGTCTCCAAGCCGAAGACCGTAGACCTGGGCTGAAGCTCGGACCCTGGACCTCAAGCTCCGCCGTCCTTCTAAGGGCCGGAGCTCAGCGAGGCCGGTGGTCAGGACCCGAAGGCCCTGGCACGGTCGGGTCAGCGTAGCCTCCCCTGGGGCCCCCAGCCGGAGGACGGGAAGTTAACGGGGTTCCCGGTTAAATTTCGATTTAAAGCTTTCGTGACTGCAAGGATTCATCTTCCTTGGTTCTTTCGGTAAGGTCACGTAGAATGATAATAAAATAATAAATTGATAAAATAAAATAACACAATAAAATTTCTCACGACGTTTCGGCCACAACACAAGCGGCCTTCATCAGGTGAAGGGACGAGACTGTCTGGAGGACAGAGGCTGTCTCGTCCCTTCACCTGATGAAGGCCGCTTGTGTTGTGGCCGAAACGTCGTGAGAAATTTTATTGTGTCATTTTATTTTATCAATTTATTATTTTATTCTCATTCTACGTGACCTTACCGAAAGAACCACAGAAGAGGGTTTACCCGGTGCTAGGGCCCGTGCAGCCCGGAGGCCATACCTCCCCAGGTATCGGGTAAAGGGGCCGCTACCCCTCTGTGTTTGGGACCTTGTAAAGGAGAGCCCTAATCAATATCGTGTTGCCTCACAAGACGTTCTCCGTCGATCGTTGACCCACGACGCTAATCTGTGTCCTGTCTGTCTGTCTGTCTGCACAGGCTACTTCTTCTCGAGCACAATGAACATGGTGAGTCTCACCCTGTCCAATATCACCGCAGCCTCGTGCGTCTTGTGTGTCCTTTGTCTTTGTGCGGGGTGCACCTAGCCTGGCACAGGCACCATGGTCACGACACCGCCACTTAAGTGGCGAATGGCAGCCGGTGCCCCTTAGCTCGTGGTGCGTTCCTGGGCACTCTGGCCACACCGGCCAGATCGGCCACCCCGGCCACACCAGACACTTCGGCCATGTCGGCCACTCCAGACACACCAGACACACCAGACACTCTAGACACACCAGACACACCAGACACACCAGACACACCAGACACACCAGACACACCAGACACACCAGACACACCAGACACACCAGACACACCAGACACACCAGACACACCAGACACACCAGACACTCCAGACACACCAGACACTCCAGACACACCAGACACACCAGACACACCGGCCACAGCAGCCACTCCGGCTACACCAGTCACTTCGGCCATCTCGGCCACTCCAGACACACCAGACACACCAGACACACCGGCCACACCAGACACACCAGACACTCCAGACACCCCAGACACTCCAGACACACCAGACACTCCAGACACACCAGACACTCCAGACACACCAGACACTCCAGACACACCAGACACACCAGACACACCAGACACACCAGACACACCAGACACACCAGACACACCAGACACTCCAGACACTCCAGACACTCCAGACACTCCAGACACTCCAGACACTCCAGACACTCCAGACACTCCAGACACTCCAGACACTCCAGACACACCAGACACACCAGACACACCAGACACACCAGACACACCAGACACACCAGACACACCAGACACTCCAGACACTCCAGACACACCAGACACACCAGACACACCAGACACTCCAGACACACCAGACACACCAGACACACCAGACACTCCAGACACACCAGACACACCGGCCACAGCAGCCACTCCGGCTACACCAGTCACTTCGGCCATCTCGGCCACACCAGACACCCCAGACACACCAGACACACCGGCCACTCCAGACACTCCAGACACACCAGACACTCCAGACACCCCAGACACACCAGCCACTCCGGCCACACCAGTCACTTCGGCCATCTCGGCCACTCCAGACACTCCAGACACAACAGACACCGGCCACTCCAGACACACCGGCCACTCCAGACACACCAGACACAATCGGCCACACCAGCCACTCCGGCCACACCAGTCACTTCGGCCATCTCGGCCACTCCAGACACTCCAGACACACCAGACACACCAGACACACCGGCCACTCCAGACACACCAGACACATCGGCCACACCAGCCACTCCGGCCACACCAGTCACTTCGGCCATCTCGGCCACTCCAGACACTCCAGACACACCAGACACACCAGACACACCAGACACACCAGACACTCCAGACACTCCAGACACACCAGACACTCCAGACACTCCAGACACACCAGACACACCAGACACTCCAGACACACCAGACACACCAGACACTCCAGACACACCAGACACACCAGACACTCCAGACACACCAGACACTCCAGACACACCAGACACACCAGACACTCCAGACACACCAGACACATCGGCCACACCAGACACTCCAGACACACCAGACACACCGGCCACTCCAGACACTCCAGACACACCAGACACACCAGACACACCAGACACACCAGACACACCAGACACACCAGACACACCAGACACTCCAGACACACCGGCCACACCAGACACTCCAGACACACCAGACACTCCAGACACACCAGACACTCCAGACACACCGGCCACTCCAGACACACCAGACACACCAGACACTCCAGACACACCAGACACTCCAGACACTCCAGACACACCAGACACTCCAGACACACCAGACACTCCAGACACACCAGACACTCCAGACACACCGGCCACTCCAGACACACCAGACACACCAGACACTCCAGACACACCAGACACTCCAGACACTCCAGACACACCAGACACACCAGACACACCAGACACACCGGCCACACCAGACACTCCAGACACACCAGACACACCAGACACTCCAGACACACCAGACACTCCAGACACACCAGACACTCCAGACACACCGGCCACTCCAGACACACCAGACACTCCAGACACTCCAGACACACCAGACACTCCAGACACACCAGACACTCCAGACACTCCAGACACACCAGACACTCCAGACACACCAGACACACCAGACACTCCAGACACACCAGACACTCCAGACACACCAGACACACCAGACACACCAGACACTCCAGACACACCAGACACTCCAGACACACCGGCCACACCGGACACACCAGACACACCAGACACTCCAGACACACCAGACACACCGGCCACACCGGACACACCAGACACACCAGACACACCAGACACACCGGCCACACCGGACACACCAGACACACCAGACACACCAGACACTCCAGACACTCCAGACACACCAGACACACCAGACACTCCAGACACACCAGACACTCCAGACACACCGGCCACTCCAGACACACCAGACACTCCAGACACACCAGACACACCAGACACACCAGACACTCCAGACACTCCAGACACTCCAGACACACCAGACACACCAGACACACCAGACACTCCAGAACACTCCAGACACTCCCAGACACTCCAGACACACCAGACCCTCCAGACACACCATACACACCGGACACACCAGACACACAGACACTCCAGACACACCAGACACACCAGACACACCAGACACACCATACACACCAGACACTCCAGACACACCAGACACACCAGACACACCAGACACTCCAGACACACCAGACACAGCCAGACACACCAGACACTCCAGACACTCCAGACACTCCAGACACTCCAGACACACCAGACACACCAGACACTCCAGACACTCCAGACACTCCAGACACTCCAGACACACCAGACACACCAGACACTCCAGACACTCCAGATACTCCAGACACACCAGACACTCCAGACACACCAGACACTCCAGACACACCAGACACTCCAGACACTCCAGACACACCAGACACACCAGACACTCCAGACACTCCAGACACACCAGACACTCCAGACACACCAGACACTCCAGACACTCCAGACACACCAGACACACCAGACACACCAGACACTCCAGACACTCCAGACACACCAGACACACCAGACACTCCAGACACACCAGACACTCCAGACACACCAGACACACCAGACACTCCAGACACACCAGACACACCCGACACACCAGACACTCCAGACACACCAGCCACTCCAGACACTCCAGACACTCCAGACACACCAGACACACCAGACACACCAGACACACCAGACACCAGACACACCAGACACACCAGACACCAGACACTCCAGACACTCCAGACACACCAGACACTCCAGACACTCCAGACACACCAGACACACCAGACACTCCAGACACACCAGACACACCAGACACACCAGACACACCAGACACTCCAGACACACCAGACACTCCAGACACACCAGACCACTCCAGACACACCAGACACACCAGACACTCCAGACACACCAGACACACCAAGACACACCAGACACACCAGACACTCCAGACACACCAGACACTCCAGACACACCAGACACACCAGACACTCCAGACACACCAGACACTCCAGACACACCAGACACTCCAGACACACCAGACACACCAGACACTCCAGACACTCCAGACACACCAGACACACCAGACACACCAGACACTCCAGACACTCCAGACACTCCAGACACACCAGACACTCCAGACACACCAGACACTCCAGACACACCAGACACACCAGACACTCCAGACACACCAGACACACCAGACACACCAGACACTCCAGACACACCAGACACTCCAGACACTCCAGACACACCAGACACACCGGCTACTCCAGACACTCCAGACACACCGGCCACACCGGACACACCAGACACTCCAGACACACCAGACACTCCAGACACTCCAGACACACCAGACACTCCAGACACACCAGACACACCGGCTACTCCAGACACACCAGACACACCGGCCACTCCAGACACTCCAGACACACCAGACACTCCAGACACTCCAGACACACCAGACACTCCAGACACACCAGACACACCGGCTACTCCAGACACACCAGACACACCGGCCACACCGGACACACCAGACACACCAGACACTCCAGACACACCAGACACTCCAGACACACCAGACACACCAGACACACCAGACACTCCAGACACACCAGACACACCAGACACTCCAGACACACCAGACACACCAGACACACCAGACACACCAGACACACCAGACACACCAGACACTCCAGACACACCAGACACACCGGCTACTCCAGACACACCAGACACACCGGCCACACCGGACACACCAGACACTCCAGACACACCAGACACTCCAGACACACCAGACACTCCAGACACTCCAGACACACCAGACACTCCAGACACACCAGACACTCCAGACACACCAGACACTCCAGACACACCAGACACTCCAGACACACCAGACACTCCAGACACTCCAGACACACCAGACACTCCAGACACACCAGACACTCCAGACACACCAGACACTCCAGACACTCCAGACACACCAGACACACCAGACACACCAGACACTCCAGACACTCCAGACACTCCAGACACTCCAGACACACCAGACACACCAGACACACCAGACACACCAGACACTCCAGACACACCAGACACACCAGACACACCAGACACTCCAGACACACCAGACACTCTAGACACACCAGACACACCAGACACTCCAGACACTCCAGACACTCCAGACACACCAGACACACCAGACACACCAGACACACCAGACACTCCAGACACACCAGACACACCAGACACACCAGACACACCAGACACTCCAGACACACCAGACACACCAGACACACCAGACACACCAGACACTCCAGACACACCAGACACTCAGACACACC